ACCATTTTCAAAGATACATTAATCTTCATTGTACAGAGGGAAAATAAAGTCAGAAGTTTAAGGAACTTGTTCAAGGCTACACAGTAATGGAGTCTTATTCAAACCTAGGGCTCCCTTATTCAAAAGCACAGATCTCTTTCTACCAAGTTGCTTTGCCTAAGAGGCAAAAACAATATTAAGAATGCTGACTGTCAACTTTCAGGTGACAACTGGGTTTGTCATTTGTATAGAGAGAAGCATGTCTCCATCTGCATCTGCTGTTGTCCCTTTCAGTGGTTCTGGGCGTCTGGTGTCCTGGGAGCCCTCCCTGCTCAGTCTCTATCCCTCCTGAGGCCCTGAGCATGCCAGGCATGTAAACCTGGCTTCAGGAACGTCAGCGGAGATGACTGCCGGCCTCTGCTAATTCCTCATTAACGGTTCATAGCTGAGACTAGCAGGCCCTCAGTCCCACCAAGGGCTCAGGGTCCATGTCCCTCACCTCCTCCAGAGGTTCAGAGAAGAGATTCATAAATTATTCTCACCCACACCTGCTCTCTCCAAGGCTTACAAAGGGGCATCTTCAGAGCTCCCAGGTCCTGAGTACATTGACGGCTGAATGGTCAAACTGGAGCAGCAGGGACTGAAGGAAGATCAGAAGCAGAGAGACTGGATGCCCATTCTATGCTGTTAATCCCACCTCCACAGAAGAGAGGTGAGAGAGCCCTGACCATCAGCACCAGGAATTCCTCAGACAAGATCAGTCACACCCTAGACAAATTTTCGGTGCTTCAGAGCAGGTCTCCTCTTCTGTCCCCTACCTAGGTTTTTTCTACACTGAGCCAAACTGAAGATCCTTCTAAAAGTGCTAATCCCCAAGGAAATGCCCCCAGAATCCCTCTATGCCCTGATAGAAATGAGTTGCTTACTCTTTTCAGAGAACAAATTTTGGGGTGCAAAAGAGGGCCAGCGGAGGGCCAGTATGGTTGGTAAGTTTGAGAACCAGAGCAGAGGTGTCACCACTCCTGTTTTTGTGTCTCCAACCCAGAGTCAGAATGATGTGGACAGTGGAGGCTGGGGGCCAAATGTAGGGATTCGAAGACAAATGCCACCAAATTTTCCACTTTCTTATTTAGAAATTTCCCATCTTTTACTTAGAAACAGTCTTGTGCCTCAAGCTCCTTCTGCTGGTTCTACTGGCAAAGGAAATTCTTTCTTTGATCTAATCTGAATCAGCCAGTTTTATTTCAAACTCAGGACCACTCTGCTTTCAAGTATCCTTGGTCTTAACTCATCCACTTTTTTTTTTTGAGAAGATTATATATTAAAGGACTATTGATCACATTATAAAACAGAATTGAGAATGCAGTGGAAAGGGATTCAAGAGAAATGGAGTTTAAGGAGTAAGTTACAAAAATGATGATGATAATGACAGTAACATTTAACATGTTTGGGGCATTTACTGTGTTTCAAGTACCGCTGTAATCTATTTAATTACTTTACATATGTTATTTTATATAATATTTACAATACTCTAGTAAAGTAAGTGCATTTATTATTATTCCCCAATTTAGATTTGAGAAAAGTGAGACATAGAGAAGTTGAATAGCTTATCCAAAGTCACACAATTTATATGTAGGAGAGCTAGTATTTGAACTGGATAATCTGTTTCCAGAGACCACTCTAGATCTTGACTATGCTGAAGAGGGAATTAAGGAGGAACAAGAAAAATGTACTGTTGAGTCATATTTTCCTTCCACCCCTACCTCCTGCTAGGGAACAAAATCAGGAAAGGAACCATGTATTCTGATCAAATCGTAGTTAAGATTGATTAATCGATATACCCCAAAACACAGCAAATCTGAGATGCAACACAGACTGCCCAAGCTTTTTGAACTCTTTCCATTATCTTTCCTGTTTTCCCTTAATGCTTCCACCTGTACTTAACACATTCTTTGGAGGGAACACCTTGACCCTCAAGGCCTCTTAGGCAGGGCATAGAATATGAGCTACTTTGAGTTCCAGGCTAGAAGCCAGGGTCACTCTGAGCAGGTTCAACAGACAAAGGAGAGGGAGAATGACCTTGGTGTGGGCGCTGGCCTGGAAGACCACGGGCGAGAGGAGGTAGCAGATGATGGGGGACTAGTCTCAGTCTGCAGCTGGTCATGCAGGCCTCTGTGTCACCATTGCCCCTAACCACATGCACCAGGAAAAGGTAGCATATGTGTGAATGGACTCAGAATGAGAGACTCTAAGAGAGAGAGTGGAATCCCAGGGTCACATGGAGCTGCAGAGTGTGCAAATGGCAGGGGCAGCTTCTTCTCCAGTCAAGGCGAAAACTACTGGCAAGTGAGAGGAAATACCTCTGGACTGAGATGAAGGTGACCTTGTTCCCAGACCCAGCTCCATGTGACTGGGGAGGTGACATTCTTTTTGTCCATCAGTTTCCTGATCTTAGAAAGGGGTACAAGGTGGTGTGAGACCTCTGCAGCAGCATACCACCAAGGACAAAGATCAGGACTATGATCCACGGTTGGAGATGGTCTGTTCCTGGGAACATAGCAAGAGCAGAGATCCCACTATACTTGTCCCTCCTCGTGTTTCTTGCTGAACGTCTGACTTGGCAGAGGAAGCTGAGCTGTGTGAGGCCTGGAGATGAGATGAACTGAGAAAAACAGGGCTGGAGAGCCCAGGAGAGCAGTCAGGTGGAAGGTGAGAAGGGTGCAGCTATGCTTGCAGAGAACAGGATACCAGAGCAGAAACAGAGGCTGGAGGATGGAGGAGGGTGAAGAGCTTCTTCCTCTTCTCCTTCACTTAACCTCCCGGAGGAGATGGAAAGAATAAAATCACAGGCTGTGGACATGATGGGGGTGAGAGTTTGTCCCTGGGATCCTTCCAACAGAAAGGGTGTTATCTGGGCCTGCACCCTGAGTACAGACCTCTCTTACGTGGCCCCTGACTGAGTACAAGCTGTGCTTGCCCTGTAGTTTGGAGAGAGAAGTTCCCAGGCTGATTGAGTTGACATCCTCCTTTCCTGGTAAAGACCAGGCCTGCCCTGTGATGAGCTGGGCCCTGGCAGGATGTTCCCAGGGTCCATAGGAGCCAGTAGGGCCTCCATTGAGAGGGAGGGAGGCAGGGACTAGCCCCATGGCTAGGCAAAACCTCATCCTTCAGAAGGAAGCTCTGGTTCCTAAACCAACAAGGTTTCCATGTGGGAAAGTCCAACCTGGTTTATTACCTGTCTATACCCTGAAGGAGTTGGGGTGTGTGAGAGAAGGGACAGGAGACAGTGCTGCAGAGAGGGCTGGGGCTTCACAGGAAGAACTGTAGCTTCACTCAGGACCAGAGATCCTATTCTCTGCTCACCTGCCTCTGGTTCCTCAGTCCCCAAGACCAGGTGAGCACACTAGAGACTATCTTTCATGAAGTTCAAGTACAGGCAGTTCCCGAGTTCTGAATGAGATCTGTTCCTGAGTGTGTCTTTAAGAATTTTAGGTAAGTCAGAACAGATGCATACAGTTCTTATTTGCCTTACTTTAGTGCAAGAATATGCTCAAAGACTTTTCAACGATGTAAAAGCTTCACTTGCAGCAAGTGAGGGTGATTGTGATAAAGAATTTGTTGTGAGTAGGGCTTGGTTCAATTGTTTCAAAGTGAGGACAAATTTATATAATGTTAAAGGGCAAGTACAGTTGTCCCTAAGTCAGATGTTCATAACCTGGGGATTGCCTGTACCTACTCTGGGCCTCATAGCGGAAAATAAAAAGCTCACTGTAGCTTAGATTCTTCCTTCAGACCGTTCTTTGTTCACTTAAAACCAGGTAAGTGAAGTCCCCCTCCCTTCACACCATCCCCAGTTGCACTGTTGCTGTGGATCTGGTCCCAGTCCCTTTTCCTGCAATCCAGCTGTGATGCTCTGCTGTGTCCTCAGTGGACATCAGAACTTTCCCAGCCCTTCTGTCCAGATTGAGTTCAGTAGAACCCAAAGGGTCTTTCCATGGACAGAGAACCCACAAAACTGCATCAAAAGATGAATGTCTGTACTGGGCAAAGAAGGAATTAGGTTCCATGAACCAGGAACCCTAGATGTATAGTGGTCCAGAGCTGGAGGGAAAGATGTCAGAGGCCTTGGGCAGCTGGGAAAAAGTACTGCACATATTGGGAGGAATGTAATGTTTGGAAGAGCAGATCTGAACTAATAAAGTGACTTCTGGAAAAGGATCTTGGAAGAGGAGTTTTGGTTGAGTATCTGTCAGTGAACAGAGCTGAAAATTGCCATTCCACATTTCCTTTCTTCTGATTTATACCCCCTCTAGGGTGGAGGGTGCCCAGGGGCTGTCTTGCAGATGCAGGGATTAGGCTTAAATAATACAAATGCCTTCCTCTGAGACAGGTGGTCAGGAGACAACACATCCCTGTGTCCCTGTGTGCCTGGGCTGATGAGGGGACAGTCCATCCAGAGGAGAGGACTATCAGAAGAGCATGGTCTTTAGTCAGATGGATTTTGATTCAAATACTTCCTATTCTATTTATCAGCTGTGTGACCTAGAGCAAGTCTAACTTCTCAGAAACCAAATTCCTTGATCTGTCATATGGGAATGTCAGCAAATCTACAAGACTACCAGTGAATCTATAGGCCAGCGTATGCCAAATCACTAGCACAGTGCCTGACACAAAGATTACTGTGGAGTTGACTCTGACTCATGTGAATCTTGGGTGGTGCAAACGATTAATGTGCTTAGTTGCTAACTGAAAGGTTAGAGGTTCAAGTCCACCCAGATGTGCCTTGGAAGAAGGGTCTGGCAATCTACTTCTGAAAAATCAGCCATTGAAAACCCTATGGAGCATAGTTATAGTCTGATACAAATGGGGTCTCCATAACACAAAGATGGCACTCAACAAATACTATAGTATCCTAAGCCCTGATTTTCATCCCTACCTATCTAAAATCTCAGTAGAGCTGGTGGTTGCTTCTCATGGCCCTCTTTATGCCCTGCAGGCACAGAGCCAGGTGGAACCAGGAGATGGAGCTGGATCCTGCACTGACTGCTCTCAACCAGACTGTGCTGTCCTCTGGGCCCAGGCCTTTTGTCTTGTTGGGTGTGCCAGGACTAGAGGCTCTGCACGCGTGGCTTTCTGTGCCTGTGTGCCTGCTATACATGGCAGCTTTGGCAGGGAATGCCTTTCTACTGGGGTTGGTGGTAGCTGACAAGGCACTTCGGTCACCCATGTACCAGCTACTGGGGCTTCTAGCAGCTGCTGACTTGGTTCTGGCCACGTCCACAGTGCCAAAAGCCCTGGCTGTGCTCTGGGGTCTGTCTGGTGAGATCTCCTTTGGGGCCTGCCTAGCCCAGCTCTTTGTTGCCCACGCAGCCTTCATTGCTGAGTCCTCAGTTCTGCTGGCCACAGCAGTGGACCGCTATGTGGCCATTTGCCAGCCTTTGTGCTATGCTGCAATGCTAACTCAGCACGTGGTGGGCACAGTGGCTGTAGCCGCTGTGACCCGTGGTGCCTGTGTCATGGCACCCTCTGTGGCCCTGCTCCAAAGATTGCCTTACTGTGGGCGGTGGGCAATGCCCCAAACTTACTGTGAGCACATGGGTGTGGCTTGGCTGGCATGTGGTGACACCCGCCCCAACATCTGGTACGGCCTGGCCACCACACTGCTTTACCTGGTCCTGGATCTCGGGCTCATAGGCGCTTCCTATGCCTTCATCCTCAGTGCTGTGTGTCGACTGCCATCCCATGCATGGTGCCCACCCCAAGGCCCTGGGCACCTGTGTGGCCCATGCCAGTGTCATCGTTCTCTTCTACACACCTGCCCTCTTCTCTTTCCTGGCTCACCGCTTTGGCCGCTACACAGGCCCTGGCCATATCCACATCCTACTGGCTAACCTCTATGTGGTGGTTCCCCGGGCCCTCAATCCTGTGGTCTACAGAGTGCAAACCCGGCAGATCACTCAGCAGCTCAGGCACCTGCTCAGACTTTGCTGGACAGGGGCAGGGAGTAATGTAGGCCCTGAGTGGTCCCCCCCAGAAGAATAAATGAGCATCCTATGTTCTCCAGCCTGTACCCTCATATGGCCAAGCTGTGCTGCAAGACCCATCTGGGCAGAGCTCTGACCAAGACGTCTGCCTCTAGGCGGTCCCACGCTCAACCCTGACCCTTTTCCTACCAAAGGGGAAGAGCGCACACGGAACTGACCTCTCCCTGCCTGAGTCTACTGTGCTCAGTCTATTCCTGCTCTTTCTAACTCTGTACTGACCTCCATAGGTTTAGTGTACATGTGTATAAGAAGTTTGGCCTGGACAATGACCGGCAAGGAGACCCAGGCCAAAGCCTATCTCAGGCAACCTGGGCATCAGAAACTTGTCTTCTTCCATCACTCTGCACAGCCGGAATCAGATTAGCGAAAGGAAGGTGGTTCTGAGGGGGGCCCTTTGTACAATGGCTGACAAAAAACAGGAACTCCATGTTTGCTGAAGGGATGAAGACAGCAGGGGGGTTGGGGATGTGAATAAAATAGAACACTGCTCTGTTCGGGCGTGTTCTGGAAACTGACATGATTTCTGACCTGGATGATTAATGCCTAGAACTTGCGAGGCCCATTGGCTGTTGCAGGGAACGGAGTGGACAATAGTGTGGCTGCCTTCTTAAGCTGTTTCCTTACTTTGCTCAGATGCTGAGGCTCCTCTTGCTTTCCCAAGTAGTGCTATGGGCTAGTTGCAGTTGGCAAAATGTGGGAAGATGACCCCTGTACCAGTCACCACGCCGTGTGCTCTGTCTCTTCTTCTGCCCTTCCTTTCCTCCACCCTCCCTCCACAAAGTTCCATAGTTCTAGTGACAGCCATCTGGATGCTGACCCTGGAGAGGTTTCTGGCTCTATGCACTTGAAGTTTTCCCAACCCCCTCCTCTCTTACTTCCCTGACTCTTGAGGCCTCTCCTGCCCCAGCAAAGCCATGTTAGAAGAGTTCATGGAGAATGGATCCCTGGTCCTGGGCAGGGTCAGAGGGTGAGGACCTGTAAAATGAGGCAAGGGTATGATCTCTCATATAAACCAAAAACCAGTTGCCTTTGAGTCTACTCCAACTCATGGTGACCCATGTGTGCCAGAGTAGAATTGTGATCCATGAGGTTTTTAATGGCTGATTTTTTGGAAGTAGATCAGACCTTTCCTCTGAGGTACCTCTGGGAGAACTTGAGCTGACAACATTTTGGTTAGCAGTTGATTGTGTTAACCAGTTGCACCACTCCAGGACACTCTCATGATTGCCCAAAAGATCCCTGGATGAAGTCTTCCTGGATTCATACATTCATCTAAGCTCTCAGTCTTTTTCCTTAGAATGGGAAGTGTGGGCCTCATATGCCTTTCCCTACTAGGTATGTTAATGAAATGATTTTAAAGGATGAGAAGAGTATGTGCTTATAATTTCTGAAGATGGGATTGCAGTGAGAAGTTGTCGTTATTGTTGTTGTTAGGTGCTATCGAGTTGGTTCCAACTCACAGCGGCCTTATGTACAACAGAATGAAGTACTGCCCTGTCCTGCGCCATCCTCAGAATCGTTGTGATGCTGAAGCCCATTGTTGCAACCACTGTGTCAGTCCATCTCATTGAGGGTCTTCCTCTCTTTTGCTGACTCTATACTTTGACAAGTATAATGTCCTTCTCCAGGGACTGGTCCCTTACGATACATCCAAAGTGCCTGAGATGAAGTTTTGCCATCCTCATTTCTAAGAAGCGGTCTGCCTATACTTCTTCCAACACAGATTTGTTCGGTCTCTGGCAGTCCATGCTATATTCAGCATGATGGCTAACGTTGTGTGTCAACTTAGCTCGGCCACGATTCTTAGTGGTTTGCCAGGCTTATGATGTTGTGATCATTTTCATGATGAGATTTGAAATACTGTGATCACCTGCATGAGATTTGCTGTGAGTAGCCAATCAGTTGACAGGGAGTTTCCTTGGATGTGTGACCTGCATCAAATATAAGTGGACATTCTGGCAAAGCTCAGGGGCTTTTGCTCTCTCTGGATCCTGCAGCTGGCTCTTGTTCATTTGACTTCCAGTTCTTGGGACCTGAGCTAGCAGCTTACTTGTGGTCTTACCTGCCAATCTTGGGTTTTCTTGATCTTTGCAGCCCGTGAGTAAGAGCCTGTTCTCTGACATGCTGATTTTGGGTTCACCAGCCCCTGCAGCTATGTGAATCAGGATAAGCCTCTATTCTGACCCACAGACTTGGGACTTTCCAGCCTCTACAACTGGAGCCATTTCCTTGATATAAATTTCTCTCTATATATTTATACACTTTTCTGGTTTTGCTTCTCTAGAGAACCTAGCCTAAGACATTCAATATTCTTCACTAACACCATAATTCAAAGGCTTCAATTCTCCTTGAGTCTTCCTTATTTATTGCCCAGTTTTTGCATGCATATTAGGCAATTGAGAATACCATGGCTTGGGTCAGGCACGCCTTAGTCTTCAAGGTGAACTCTTTGCTTTTTAACACTTTAAAGAGGTCTTTTGCAGCAGATTTGCCCAAAGCAATGTATCATTTGATTTCTTGACTGCTGCTTACATGGACATTGATTGTGGATCCAAGTAAAATGAAATATTTGACAACTTCAATCTTTTCTCCTTTTATCATAATGTTGCTTATTAGTCCAATCATAAGGACTTTTGTTTTCTTTAGTGAGAAGTAGGAATGTAATAAAAGATATGGATTGCAGAGCTTCAGAGGCCAAATATCTCAACAGAAACAATATGGGACCCATTCTTCATAGAGAACCGGACATCCTCCTAGGCGTTTGATTGGGTGTGAGACTCCCCCACTATCTGAGAAGTACTCATGAGTGATGACAGAGGAGAAGGGAGCTTTTCAGGGTGGCCAGCACTAGGAGGACTGGAGGGGAGTCTGAAGGAAATGTGGCTCCTTGTCTAGGCCTCAGAAACTAAACTCTTACCTCTCTGCAGGGATTGCCCAAGTGAGAGGCAGAGGACTGGAGGCCCCATAACCATCTGTGGCTGGTTAGAAGATATTTGGAGGGGGCTTTCTTAGAGGACAGGCAGTGGAGGCTGCTGGCACCAGGACCTAGGATTAGGGGAAGCATTTGAATAGTGGAATGGGATTAAAATGTTGAGTGCCAGGGATAGTGGAAGAGGCAAATTGCTAGAGTCAAGTGAGGGTATCTAATAGAGCAGGCCAGTATAGTGTTGCTGAAGCAATCCCCCCCGAGATATTCTCTTTGGCCTTCATCCGAAAGCTCATGGTTAAGTAAATGGCTTCTGTCCTTGAGATTGAGCAAGTAGGGTTACTTTTCCTTTTAGAGTATTCTCTCCCTTTGATGTTAAGAGAAAGACTATACCCTCTTCTGAAAGGCACCCATCCCAAGGCCCCCACAGGATGTCTCAGGTTTGTTTAGACATGAGGACACAGCTGGGCTGGGGCAGATCTCAGCTTGGAGACCAATGAAAAAGACCCTGTTTGTAGTGGGAAACTCACCTCCACCCCATCTTTGGAGATCTTAGTCTGTCACAACCCTCTTTTCCCCTCATGCTCTCCCTGCACCCTCTCACACTCTCCACCCTTCTAGATGTTGCAATCTGTGTCCCCCTCCTGCTTAGACTATTCACTGGAACTAGAGATAAAAGCCCAAGGGAAACCCAAGGACTTATTCCACTCCTGCAGCTGATGCAAGATGCAGCTTATCCCAGCCCTCCCTACCAACCTACTGCTGCTGCCCCTAGTGCTTCCAGGACAGCCCCAGGTACAGGTAGAAGGGGAGGGATCATAAGCAGGCAGGGGAGATTGCTCTGTGTTGTGGTATGGTTTCCCTCACTGCTCCTAGACTGCTCAAGAATCCCTAGGTTCTGGGAGAGGGTGAAATTGACAGATCTAGGGTACATAGGGTTGCTATGAGTCAGAACCTACTCTACAGCACCTAACACCAACAAGGGAGGGAAGGAGAGGAGGAGGATAGGTACCCTATATTCTCTGATTTTCCCCTGGCTTGTGTGGGCAAAGGGTAAGAGAAGACAAGGGTGAATATAATGGAGGGAGGAACTCCCTAGTTTACTAGGAGGCCTCATTTTCTGTAGAAGTCTGCCACCCTCTTTCTGTGCTAAGGATACTGGAGCTAAGGGAAACCAGTCTGGTGTTATCATAGGCTATGCAACATTTGCCTCATTATCCCCAAAAAGCTAAACTTTGAGCTGTAGTTGAAGGTTGAAGATATAGCCAGATTAACCACCAGAGCCAGAGAAGCTGTGGGTGAGACTTCTCAGAGAAGTGCAGGGACCACACATCTTAATTCTTGAAAGGTCTATAAGGAAACCCCAGCTGGTGCCACAATCCCAATCAAGAATTTGGGAAGGAGTATTCTGTCTCAGACTGGCTCATCTCACTTCAAAATGGGGGTGGAGAGATGTAAAAGAATTATAATAGCTAATATAAATGACTCTTACCATAGGTCATGCACTGTTCTAAGTGTTTTACAAATATTATATTTATACATATTTGTAATTTTTAAAAGAAAATAATAAGGTAAGTGTCATTATTATCCCTATTATACAGATGAGGATGCTGTAATATATACAATATATACAATGTCACAGAGTCGGAATTACAGCTCAGGCAGTCTGACTCTAGAGTCAGTGGGTTTGGACTCTGAGTGAGAATGTCAATAAGATGATAAGCAAAGGGGAGAAGACCCCATATGATGCATCTTTCAGCCCTAGAACCTCCCTACCACCTTTACTCTCTTCAGCTGAGGCAAAAAAGCTGCCTCCCACCTTCTCCCTTCTGGCCTGTACTACATACTCACCCTGACATAGCTTCAGCCTCAGCAGTACCCTTTGGTCCAACTCATGATGACACTATAGGACAGAGAAGAGCTGCCTCATAGGGTTTCCAAGGAGCGGCTGATGGATTCAAACTGCTGGCCTTTTCATTAGCAGCTGTAGTTCTTAACCACTGCACCACTAGGGCTCCCTTTGGTGTAAGAACATGAAATCTAGAACCAGCATGGAACCCAGGGCAGCTCACAGCCTTGTCACTTATTAAGCATGTGACCCAGTAATGCTTTTTAGATTCTCAGAACCTCTTGTATTTCAACTATAAAATGTGGGTTACATTCATACCTTGCTATGTTCTTGTAAATGCTAAATGTCAGTGCAGACTCTGGTGCCCCACTGTCCTGTTAATGTTAATTCCCTTCTTGGACAATTGGGAGCTGTCAGTCCCTGCTGTCTTCAGAACAAGGTGAAGTTGCGGGAATATGCTGATCATCTAGAGTGGGGGTACTATAGAACACTGAGGAACACCCAAACTTATCCCTTAAACTTTTCTTCAGTCCAGCTCTGCTATCTCTCACAGATCCCCAAAGGAAATTTGACAATCAGCCTTGTGAATGGCAGTCAGATCCAGCCAGTGCATGAGGTAGGGTAAGGGTGGCCCTTCTAATAGGGGCTTGGAGGGGACTGCAGCTTCGATTCTGGGAAATCAAGGGAAGGGTGGCTCAAACCCATGGCAGGGGGATTCCTGGACAGTGAAGAAAAAACCCCTGTGTGGAGAGCATCTCTAAGACACTCAAGGGTAGGCTCAGCCTCTTCTCCTGCCTCAAGTTTCCCAACAGTGCATTTTGCCTCAACGTATTGCATTATGCTTAACGTGCCTGTGGCTTTGGTTTTGCAGCTGGTGACAAGCATGCCAGCCTCCATGGTTGAGGGTGACACATGCCACTGTGTGGTCCATCTGCCCAACAATACCATTCCCTTGCAGCAGCTGGAGAAGCTACAAAGTACAGCCCAGGAGCTCATGGAAAAATATGAACAGGAACTCTCTAGGGTGAGTGTTGGTGCTGCAGGCTAGGGCTGAGAGTTCTCTAAACTCAGCCGTATCTGGACTCAGCATGGGGTTGAGCCCTGGGCAGAAGGAGCTGAAGGAAGCATAGCTCTGATCTTTGAGATGGATCCTTAGTATGAGGGGGGGCTTATGCAGTGTGCTTAGGATCCCCAGTGATGATAATAGAGTATGGAGAGCTTGTGTAGGGACTGCTTCCTACATTAATGTATGAATTAATAGGTATGGGCCCACTGGATGATAGGGAGAGGGAAATTTAGGTACAAGTATAGAATAAGCATGGTGATTCCATGTGTGTGGAGTAGAATTGCACTCCATAGGGTTTTCAAGGCTGTCATCTTTTGGAAGCATATTGCCAGGCCTTTCTTTCAAGGTGTTTCTGGGTGCTACCCAGAGACTTATGAGTTGGAATTGACTCGATGGTAACATTTTTTTTTTCCTTTATAGAATAAGCAAAAGCTTGGAAGTGGGATGACCAGTGGAATAGAAGGAGGGAGAGCTTGGGATTGATCCTCTAAGAAAGGATGAGTGAAGTGAAGCTTTACAGCAGTGGTTGTATTGTAGTCAGATTTGTTTTTCATAAAGGTCACCTATGGAGCTCCTGGGGAAAGTTGATTAGTGGGGTCAGACTGAAAGCTGGGAGCCTCTCCATTCATTTGCTCAGCAAGCCACTTCTGAGGACGTGGCTCTAACTAGGAAAGGGAAGAAAGGATCTTGGTGGTGCAGAAGAAAGAGTTTTACTCCTGTAGGGAAAAGGAAGATAGGAGTATCTGCAGCTGAAAAATAGGACCAGCACCAATGTCCACTTCAAGGGCTGTTGATGGAAGCAAATGAGATGACAGATATGAAGTGCTCTGTAGGCTAAGCGGCACTGGGAGGATGTGAGTGGATGGGTACAGCCGCAGGATTTGAAGTTTGGGGAACTGCCTGTTCATCCTGCTGATGCCCAGGTCAGTGAGTACGCATGAGCCATTAAAGATCTGGATAACCAGATCCTGGAAATGATCCACAAGCTGCAGTCCAGGAATTCCAGTGCTCTTCCTTCTTCCTATGAAGCCCTGGCCTTCAACCTGCTGCACCTGGAGCTAGAGGGGGCACAGCAGTTGGTGACTCAGCTTAAGGCCAACGGAGAAGTGAATGGGTCTACAGTCCTCCTCAACAAACTCCAGGGCCAGGTAGGTGGATGGTTTAAAGAAGCCCCTCCCCTCTGCAACTTCCTGTCTCATCTAATCCCACTTGTCTGACAATTTCCAAAATCACTTCTTTTTGGGGGAGAAGACCCTGAGCTGAGACGATTTTGGTGGACTTTTTCTTAAGAACACTGTGACCCACATCTCTGGCATCTCATTTCCTTAGGTGGCAAATGTAAGCTTCACCCTCAACCTTCTGGGTGACTCTAACCAGCACAGCTTCCATGCTCTACGCTGGGAGGTGGATGCCCTTGAGAGCCTACTGAGCAAGCATGAGAGGGACAAGGAGGAAGAACGGGCCTCCAGCCACCCTGGCCCACCTCTGGCCCCTGGTGAAGTCCTAGACTGAATCTTCCAAGAGCTTATCTCCTCAAGGACAGGGTTGGGAGTGCAGGGTTGGCTATGGTGTAATGAGGGGATGGTGTTAAACAACCTGATGGAGAAGAAATATTTCATTATCTTGTTTGATATAGTCTCATACATGGACTTACCCATATACATAGACATACAAACATACCCATAATTAGACGTACACACTAACCACTATTATGCAAAATTGTACCAATTTATGAACTTATATGTACACTTAGATGTATGGCCACAGGCTCACATGTACACGCGATTATTATACTTTCACACTCTACTGTCTGTGGATTGTGTGTGTCACACCTAGCTCATACCTTGCCTGCTCCCCCCTCCAGGTTCCTGTGATCATGAAGGCCTCCAAAAAGTCAGCAAACCCCTTGTGGTGTAGCTCAATTGGAGAGGATTTGCATATAAGGCAGGTACCTGGGGCCGAGACTTGGCTCCCAATCCACCTTCTTCCCACTACTGGGTGGCCCCTCTGCGCACAGACGGCAGGTAAGCCCAAGATGACTTCTGTTCCGCACCCAGGTTCATCCCAAATGCCCCCTGCCCCCATCCCAATATATTCGCCTGTGGTCTAGATCTGACATATCACTTCCTAATGCTCCTTTCATGGGTCAAGGATGGCCACTCTCTGGAAATTTTTAATCTTATGCCAAGCCAAAGCTAGTTCTATCCCTAGCCTGACCCTATCACAAGAACAAATTTTTCTAGATCTGGGCCTCAGAATTTCAACTTTCTGCTCACACAAAGCTTAATTCCAGCATCTGGGGCTTAGAGGATGGGTTAGAAAATGATCCTGGCAAAGCTTGGGACTGGAGTTAAACTAAGTATACACTAAGTCAGTACTAAGAATTTGAATTTCACTACTGCCACTTAAGTGAATTTGGAGAAGTGAATTAATATCTTGGACCCATTCTTAATTATTTGTAAAATGAGAATAATTAAATTTATGAGATCATGTGGGATTACGTAGCAAAATGAGGGCAACATAATAGGTACAGATAAATAATAAATGAAAAAAATGGCTAAATAAATCAATAAATTAGCCCTTCAATAAACTGGCTGTCTGGCTAGGGAGGTAGGCACAACCCAGAGACACCAGTGTGGAAGTGTGGTATAGACCCAAGTGAGTAAAGGTCATAGGAAGGTCTTCCAGTTGCAGAAAAGCCCTAGTCACCAAAGCTAAACTCAGAAAGATTAGCATTACTGATAATAACAGTTAACAGTTACCTTTGAGTGGCCTCTGATTCATGGCGACCGCATGTATGTCAGAGTAGAACTATGCTCCACAGGGTTTTCAGTGGCTGATTTTTACCCCCAGAAATAGATTGCCAGGCCTTTCTTCTGTGGTGCCTCTGGGTGGATTGAACCTTCAACTCTTTGGTTTGCAGCTGAGTACATTAACTGTTTGCACTACCCAGGGATTCCATTACTGATAATAACAGCTCCCAGAGCACATTTATGTGTCTTTGTGTTTTTGGATCATCTCAAAATCCCTGCAGGCAAGGGAAAGCAGGACTTACTGTCCACAATGAAGAGATAAAAATACTGATAGCTCAGGAACAATATAAGGAACTTTACAAAGTCACATCATGAGCATAAATCTCCTTGAGCTCTGACACCCATATCTCAAGGACAGGTGGGACAGTGGAGTCTAGGCACAGAAGAATTTCCGTAAGAAAAAAAAAAAAGCTATTTGTAGAATTGCTCACTTTGAGACAAATACTATACTAATTGTTTTATTTGCATTACCTTGGTCAGCTTGGATAATCAATGAGGAAGATTCTTTCGTTATTCCTTTTACAAATTTTACTTATCAATTTTGCCACCTTCAGCAAATTACTTAACCTTTCTGACACCTAATCTTCTAATCTGTGGGGGTGAAACCTACCTTACCGAGGTTTTATTATAATTTTAAAAGGAGTTAATGCATGTACAGTGCAATATTGGCACTAGAGCTATTGGTATTTTTATCACTACTATTCCTGTTGCTACTTTTTACAATTATTTTGTCATACTATGTAGCAAGTAACAGAGCAGGGATTAATACTCAATTGTGTTTCATTCCAAAGCCCTTGCTGAATAGTACGTACTTTGTAACTTTGCTTATTACTGTGTCCTGATAATTTTGATGTGGGGGGCTGGGTCTAGGTGCTTTGACTACTACCGGCTGTACAAGTCCTCTGATGACCTGATGCTGACGGAGAACTACGAGGAGTGGAAGATGGACTGTGGTGATGGCACTGGCAATACTGTGTACAAGAACTTCATGTACTTTAACTACTATGGCACAGCTGACATGGCCAAGGTAGACCTTTCCTCCGACACCCTGGTGCTGTGGCGCCCCTCGCCTGGTGCCACTTACAACAACCTCTTCTCTTATGCTGGTGTGCCCTGGAAGGACATAGATTTCGTTGGAGATGAGAAAAGGTTGTGGGTGCTCTATGCCACTGAGGAGAGTAGGGGTAACCTGGTTGTTAGTCTTCAATGCCAGCACCCTAGAAGTGGAGAAAACCTGGCACACCAACCAGTACAAGCCAGCCCTGTCAAGGGTCTTCATGGCCTGTGGGGTGCTCTATGCCTTATGCTCATTGAGCACCCGCCAAAAGGAAATCTTCTATGCTTTCGATACCATCACTGGGCAGGAGCGTCATCTAAGCATCCTACTGGACAAGATGCTGGAAACGCTGCAAGGCATCAATTACTGCCCCTCGGACCACAAGCTGTATGTCTACAATGATGGGTACCTGATCACTTATGACCTCACCTTCCAGACACTGAAGCACCAGCTACCAAGACTACCAGCCAAAAGGCCCTCTGGGATCCATGCCCCACCCAAACCTGTCAAACCCAACACACCCGTCAGGCCCCGAGGCTCCAGGGCTTGCAGCTCATTGGTGGAAGTATGTCTTCCTCCTCACTTCCAGGTGGAGCACACCCCCAAAAGATCATCAGTCCTAATGACTGGGAAGCATTGATTACGTCTAGTTAGTTCTTTATGTAATTAATATCTCAATTGTATATTATAAGTCCATTTAATAATGGTTTGGGTGGATTTGATTGGGAAACAAATAAAAATTATCTTGGAATATGTGACCCTCTTTCTGGTGTTTTGGGATCTCATATTCCATATTTTGAAAACTATGAATTCTTGACATGCATTCTATACATTTGAAAATGAGAAAATTGTACAACTCTGTGACCCAGGTTGCTAAGAATTGTCTCAGTCTGGCAGCATCTGGTTCCAGTGCAGAAGATCCAGGAGAGCTGGTCATTAAGGTGGGATATGGAATTTCCCTCTCTTACCCCTTCCTTTCTGTGGGGTCTTGGTCTGAAAATCAACATTCCTCTGTCCTGGCTCAGTTTCATTTTTAAGTGCAATTGAGAGGTACCTAGGCCTGAGTCCTGCTCTAGGAAGTTAGCAGCTAGTCAATGAACTTGAGGAGGGTCTAACATAGATTGGGCTGAGTGTCCAGACATTTTCTGTAAAGAATCCTTTGGTGTGATAGCAGGAAGTCTCCTGGCCAATTGTCTATGTTCTCTTTGCTCATCTTCAGCGCACTGAGAATATAGAATCCCAGACTATCTGCTTTTCACTTATCTGTCTGCATGGCATACCTCCCACAAGGCAAGTGGATGGGATATTCAAGCATTCAGGCCCTGAAGTCCTCACAGTCACACAGGGGTTACCAGAATATCTCATATACACTGTCTCATGAATACACTTTCACACACACATACATTCACAAATATACATTCAATCAGATATATACATTCTCACTCCTACATATCCACTATTCCTACCTGCACCCAAATATCAGCACAGATATAAATATACATTTTAACATATCTACTAGTAGGAAATTCATCAGCTTCCCAAACAAAATTATACATCATCCTTCAAATTTGCATGAGACTGAGAAACTGGTTTATTAGTAGCCTGACCCTGTCTCCTTAGGAATCTCTACTACTAATCACCTCTGCCCTCACCTAGCGTGATTACAGGTACCTCCCGTTTTAGTGTTTCAGTCCAAAGGTGGATACTAAAGACCAGGCTGGTACACTGAAACAAATCATTGTAAAATTTCTGCTATCATGGCATATAGAAAAGAGTGAATCATACATAAATGGAAAATATTTTGCAAGGAATGACTCACTCAACTTTAGTTTAGAATGCCTGTAGAGGAATGCTCCTTGGTTAGCCTTACTCATGCTTCCTAGGACAGAGGACATTTTTTCCATTCTCAAGTCTAAATCCCAACATCTAGACCCTAGAGAAAATCATGAGCTCTCTTCCACTTAAGACCTTTGTTCCTTTTCCATTTTCCTTTCTAAAGACCCATCTTTCCCAGATCATTAACATTAATATTCCTCTCCTATGGGAGAGATTCCATTCTTACCACAGATATATGGTTTTATGGCTTTAACAGACTCAAATTTTCTCACAACAAGCCTGACATTCCTCTAAGGGACCCAAACACAGCACTACATAAAACCACATATCCCATAAATAATCTGGTCTTTTATTTTTTTTTAACTAGTCCCGTTCTGAGAACTTTGTCCCCAGTTGTCTTATTTTATTTCATTAAAGAGGTCTAGATCCCCGAAAATATCCTCCTTCCCCAGCCAGTCCTGCTTCGGCAGGGACTGTGAGGCTAAAGTTGACATCACAATATCCCTTTTCTGAAGAAGTTATGTACTTGATGGGTGAGGCAGGGGGAGAGGCAGCCCTGGGAGAAGTCTTCCATCACAACTTAGCTCACGCTTTAGCAAGTATGAATCAGTAGCCAAGACAGGCCTCAGCGGGGCCACATCTGGAGAGCTGGGGTGGGGGTACAACACCACAAAATATCTGGCCCAAACCCAGTACCTCATTTCTTTGCAGGCAATAGGGAAACTAGCCAGTGGCCTGAGAATACAAGAACTGAGAGGAAGGCCAGCAGAAACATTTGTCTGCCCTCACCCCTTCTGTCCCTGAATCTGTCTGCTCCCCATCTGCCCACCTGCTAAGGTCCATGCCGCATGTCTCTGCCCGAACACTCAGGATGGCCCAGAGTGGGTGTCCTACAAATCTGTCTGCAGACAAGACTATCTCTTCGAGTGTCACTCGAGTAATAGTGAAGACACCAGGCAAGCAGCAAGACTTTACGGTAGCTGATGACACCTCGATGAGGCAGTTCAAGGAGAAGCTATCGGCTCATTTCGATTGCCAAATGGACCAGTTAGTGTTGGTCTTCATGGGTCGCCTTCTCAGAGACCATGACACACTGAGACAGAGGGGCATCCTGGATGGCCACACCATCCACTTGGTCATCAAATCCAAGCATGGCTCCCAACCCCTAGCTCATTCCTCCCAGAACCTGCCAATCAATGAGCCCTGCCACTGGAACGGAAGCACCAAAGGAAACAGCAGTGAGGTGCATCAGCCTGCTGGCATTAATCAAGCCCCAGTGGAATCACCCCTCTTTGTGGAGCCTGAGATGCCCAAGGTGAATACCCAGAACCTGGAAGCTGGCAGTCCTGGGCACATGGCACAGATGTTGGACAATCCCAGCATCCAGCAGCTTCTGTCCAACACAGATCTCATGCGGCAGTTTATCTCAGAACATCCAGAGATGCAACAACTCATGCAGCAGAACCCAGAAGTTTCCCACATCCTTGACAATTCAGAGATCCTATGGCAGACTCTGGAGCTGGCCAGGAACATTGCCATAATCCAAGAGATAATGCAGATTCAACAAACTGCACAGAACCTTGAGCATCCGCAGAACTCACAGCCACCTCTGGGCTTAGAGACAATTCCAGGTAGAGACAATGCCCTGGGTCAGAGCTATGCTGATTTCAATGACCAAATGACCAACAACTTACAAGATACCTTTGGGGGCAACATTTTCACAGCTCTCCTGTCAGGACAAGTGCCAGAACAAGTCCAGTCTTCACCTTCACCTCCACCACCGTCCCAGGAACGGCGGGACCAACTCCCACAGCTCCCTACAACCCGAGTTATTTACACCAGTTCATGTGGTTTATCTGCAGCCAATGCCACCCCCAGCAGGGTGAACCATACTGCCAGGGTCAGTGCTGCTACTATCTCCACCAAGGGCCGAAGCCACACGTGTGCCATTCAGCAGCCAGTCGGGGTGCCAGCTCTACCCAGCATAGAGCCCACTCAGCAGCACCAGGCAGAAGGCAAGGATGACATCTCTCTAAGTAAGTCTGACCAGAGACTGGAGGATGATCTGCAGCTGTCGGATGAGCAGACCAGCTCCCAGATTACAGGAAGCATGACACAGCTGCTTATGAACAACCCCTGCCTGGCAGCCCAAATGATGTTGTTCATGAGTATGCCCCAGCTGAGTGAACAATGGAGGCAGCAGATGCCCACATTCCTGCTTCAGACACAGCTTTCTGACTTGCTGTTATCCCTAGCCAACCCTAAAGCATCACAGGCAATACTGCAGATTGAGCGGGGTCTCCAGCTGCTGGCCACAGAGGCTCCTGCTCTTCTGCCCTGGGTCGCACCCTACCTATGGGGCCTGGGTTGGCTTCCTGACCCCAGCTGCAGCTACCCTGATATGACACCCTCGTCCTGGGATGTGCCAGACACAGCTGACCCAAAAGGGCCTGAAGGCTGCCACAAATCTGGAGCAGTCCTACAGAGGCTACATTCCCTAGCTGAAGAACCCTCCCAATCTCTACAAGCTCCTGAGATTTGCTTCAGCAAGCAGATGGAATCTCTCCAGGCCATGGGCTTTGGGAATCATCATGCCAATCTGCAGGCACTCATTGACACCAAGGGAGACACCAGTGCTGCTATCCGCAAGCTCAAGAGATCCCAGAGATTCTAACTACCATGCTTACCTACTTGCTTGTTACCTGCCTGCTGACCCATTTGACTGCCTCATCTGCCTTCTCTACCTCTCCTGATGCCTCCAGCAAGGAGCAGCCCTGGGACAGGAGAAACCAACCAATGCTTTCCCTATTGAATAACAAATCATTGACAATGACTTGAAGATCTGTCAATAAAATGGCTACACCTACTTCCCGTATCTGAGGTTTGGCTCTGTTTCCTTTGCCATCAAGTAACTAGCTGTGTGTGACACCCTTGTCTCATCTACCATACATACACGAACACGCACACACACCATACACATATCAACATAGAGATAAGAGGTATCATAATTGCACAAAACAGTATATACATGTATGAGACTATGCTTATGTAATATGCTTGCATATCCCCAAACAGCTGTGCAAAACACACAAGCTCACATAGACACAGATTCACATATATGAACACATAGAGCCAATAGATAGTGACATCAGCCATGTATATACACAGATACACACAAAAACATACAGACACAGAAACAAGTCCACATATATGAAAAGACAGCCATAGCATACTCATACAAAAAAGGAAACAATATCATGTTGATAAACCCAGATATTTAGCCATAAAGACTGTCTTCCTTGCTTTCTCAAACTCAGATTGATCAAGTTTGAAAGTGAAAGAACTACCTGGTAGGCCAGAGTAGGAGGAACCCACATATCAGCCAGGTCCTGATGAGCATTTAGCTTCGAAGAGGCCTCTTGCTAATTTTCACTGCTACAATCCTACAACTTAATACTCTGTTCAACAACCTACTTATTCCTTGTTTTTAAATTTTTATTTATTTATTTTTTCTCAGCAGCCACTCCATTTCTTGAGTTCCTCTAGGGTATAATGATAATAATAATAATGATAATGATGATGATGATATAAAAGAAAAACTTTGTCATCCTTTATCCCTCTCTCACACTCAAATTCTATTAACAAATCCATTTAATATCTTGAAAATATAAATAGAATTCATGGTTAATGGTGAATCAGAGAGAAGACAGGGACATATGTTGCTTGTTAAAATAGCCCCAACTGGGAATTAGCTGAATTTGGATCTGAATGGAAAAAAGGAACTGAGGGGTCTTTTCTAACATCTGGCTCAGTTTGAGTCTCCACATACCACATACCAGGTTGCGTGGAAGCAGGACTCTTGGCCTGAGAAGGAGGGGCCAGCCTAGGCCCCTCACTCTGAAGAAGACAACTGAGGTGAAAAAAGTAGAAAGGTTAAAGGTAGGGGAGAAGGAGTTTCCAGGGACCCAGAGAACCTAGGAGTAGTTTCAGGAATCCATTGTGTGAGGCTATGATGTCAGTGCTGAGATCACAGAGGTGACCTGATGGAGTGGATTCCAGCCCAGAAGGCTCAGGGGTGGCTGTGCAGCAAGATGAGGGCAGTTTGGAGCCCTGCATAAGAGAAAGGACGGGGTCACAGCTGATTGGTGTGTATTCCCCAAACTGGGCCCTTCTTCTTGCATTTGCTTCATCACTCACGAACTACACATCTGTTTCCTGGGATCCCATATTTCCCTCCCCTGACCCCAACATCTCTCAACCCCACAATCCCCCATAAGCTGCCTATCCTAAGGACCTCACAGTCCCCTCCACGCAGACCCTATGGCTTCCCCAGCCCAAGACCCCAGACCCTTTTGCTTACCTTTCCTACTTTTGCCATTGCCCAAAAGGATGATCTTGGTCTCATCCCCATCCCCCTAGCTGTGTCCCCACAGACCTGGGGCTCCTGCTGCTCACCATGGCCAAAAGCGGAGAGGCTTTGCCACAGGGCTGCCCAGTGCCAGTCCAGGATTCCCATCTCATCAAGGTGACAGTGAAGACGCCCAAGGACAAGGAGGATTTCTCAGTTATAGATACATGCACCATCCAGCAGCTGAAGAAAGAGATATCCCAGCGCTTTAAGGCCCACCCTGATCAGCTGGTCCTAATCTTTGCTGGCAAGATCCTCAAGGACCCTGACTCACTCACACAGTGTGGTGTGAGGGATGGCCTCACTGTTCACCTGGTCATCAAGATGCAGCGTCATGCCATGGGCGCTGAGTGCCCAGCTGCTTCAGTCCCTACCCCAGCCCAAAGCCCTGAATCACTCCCCCACCCAGCTTCCATTTTCCCGTCAGATGGGCCTCCCTCTTTCAGCTTAGGTGTCCTCACAGGCCTCAGTGGGCTGGGCCTGACCTCTGCTAACTTGCCTGACCAGCCAAGTTCACTGACGTGGCAGCATATATCTGTGCCTGAGTTTGTGGCTCAGATCATTGATGACCCCTTCATCCAGGGTCTGCTGTCCAATACAGGCCTGGTGCACCAGCTGGTTCTTGAAAACCCCCACATGCAGCAGTTGATCCAGCACAACCCTGAGATTGGGCATATTCTCAACAATCCTGAAATCATGCGGCAGACACTGGAGTTCCTACGCAACCCTGCCATGATGCAAGAGATGATGCGTAGCCAGGACCGGGCGCTTAGTAACCTGGAGAGCATCCCTGGTGGCTATAACGTGCTTCGTACCATGTACACAGATATTATGGACCCAATGCTTAATGCATTCCAGGAGCAGTTTGGCGGCAATCCTTTTGCTACTGCCACTACTGCTGATACCACCAGCAGTAGCAGCCAACCTTCAAGGACTGAGAATTGTGACCCTCTCCCCAACCCCTGGGCTTCCACATATGGAGGCTCAGGTGGCAGGCAAGGAAGGCAGCCTGGGGACCAGTATGCATCTGAAACTAGAAATGGGGTCCCCAACTTGCTGGGTATAGGGCTCTATGACTACCTCCAGCAATTACCTGAGACCCCGCAATCCCTTGGAACCTACCTTCAGGGAACTGCATCCTCCCTCAGTCCAAGAAGGGAACCATACCTACCAAGAAACCGAGTTCCCCCAACTTCATGCTCATCCCAGGAACCTGGGTCAGGCCAGCCTGACTCCAAGGAGTCAGTAGCCATCAAGGGAAACTCCTCCTGCCCAGCTTTCCTGAGATACCCCACAGAGGGCAGTACTGGGCAAGGCAGAGGCCAAGATGGGGCAGGGGAGGGCTCCACTGGCCATAGCACCAATATGCCTGATCTTGTCTCAGGGCTGGGGGATTCTGCTAAAAGGGCCCCATTTGTTGCTTCACTACCTTCCCCCATGACAGCCACCTCTGGAGTCCCTGAGCCTGCCTGGCTGCCGCCACCAACTTATCCAAGATCTTTAAGGCCAGCTGACCTGAATCATGGCCCCCAGGTACAGGATGAGATGCATCGACAGCTGCCACTACTGCTGCACCTTCAGGTGGCCATGGCAAACCCTCGTGCAATGAACGCCCTCCTGCAGATTGAGCAGGGTCTGCAGATCCTGGCAACTGAAGCCCCGCGCCTCCTGCTCTGGTTCATGCCTTGCCTTGCAGGGTTGGGGAGTCTGGCAGGAGGTACAGAGTCTAGGGAGGGTACCCTTATGCCTGAGGATCCTCCTCCAGCCCCAGCTCCCGAGGTTCCCCAAACATGGGCCTCTACTGAGCTGGGCCTCCATTCAATTTCCTTCCTCCAGATGTTACAAGCTTTAGCTAGTACCAATTCCCAGCAGCTGCAGCATGAAGCTCACTTCCGGGTGCAGCTGGAGCAACTTCAGGCCATGGGCTTTCTGAATCCTGAAGCCAATCTCCAGGCCCTCATTGCCACGGGGGGCGACTTGGAGGCCGCTGTGGAGAGACTGAGGCAATTGTAGGAGCCGTAGTTGTTCAGATTACATCTTTTCCTCTGTGCCTTCTCCTCATTTCCCATTCCCTCAGCTCCCCCATTCTTGAATGCAGCTGCTGTATGAACGAAATTTACTATGATGCACTTTACTGCAGAGACATTGTTGTTCTAGAGTCAATGAGGAAGAACGAGAGCCAGAACCAGGGTGGGGGCTCTGTGTGTGACCCAACCACTCCAGCCACTGCACCACCGTGGGGGCTCAGTCTGAGCTCTGCTTGTGCCTGTCTTGAGATGCAATTACATCTGATCTCCAGTGTCACCTGCTGCCTGAGTGTGATTCTTTGTGGGCTGTGAAAGGAGGGGAGGAAGTGGAAGAAGAGGTGGCGATAAGGGCTGTCTCTACATACAAGGGAAGACACGGAGGGGGAGCAAAAGCATTTGAAATTAGAAGATTGAGAGTCATGGAAAACAGAGGTGGGATGTTGGGGTCTTCGCTGCAACTCTTCCAAGACTGTGGTCTGTAGATTTCCTGGGGTTCTTCCAGAAGTCCCCCAGATTTGTGTCCCTTAGGAGCTGCCCCCATCTATTCTGTTCTTTGGGGTTCCATCCCATTAGTCTCACTGCAGAGTGCAAATAGTTGTTTTTTTTTTTTTTTTGTAATTGCTCCAGCAGACTATCCCACAGGTGGCTATCACATAAGGATTAAGTGCTGATCCCTGAGTGGGTAGAGACAGAGCAGCAAGGATTCAGATGGGATTCCAAGTTTTCCTAACCTCTCTGAGTGTATTTCAAGAGTACTTTCCCTAGTAGCCAGTTCAAAGGGTTGATTTCATTGCCATGGACTCTGCTTGTCCTAGAGTTTGTCTTTCTTGCAACTCTTAGCTCATTCATTCATTCATTCAATGGAAATTGAGGTATTAGAATTCAATGTGAACAAAAGAGAAATGACCTTTTCCAATTATGATCTGGTAACAGGAAATCATATTCTTCAAATATTTTTTGTAGATGACTATAATCTATGCTAAGTGCGATAAAGAAAATGACAGAGTTGTGAAATAGAGTTACAGGGGCTTTATCTACTCTAGGGGGTGAGGGAAGACTTCTGGGAGTGAATGCACTGTAAGCTGAAATCTGAAAAGTGGAAAGAAAGAAAATAAAGGACCTGAGGAGGAAGGAAGAGAATTCTGGGAGAAGGGTCATGATGTACAAAAGTGCTGAGGTAGAAGGTGTATAGCACATGGGGTGGGGGTTGGAATCTCAGACTAAATTCCTGTTTGCACTTAAGGACCTCTTTTCCCATGCACCTCTATGGTAAAAGTGTTATAATTCATAAATCAAGCAAGCAAACCATGCTGTCTAGTGTACATATATATAAACCTGCCCATAGGCTCACACTGTTAAACACTTAACTCCAGAGAAATGGCACAAACACAATGCATACTCACACTTAAATACACTTTCATGTGGGCACGCATTCAAAAACACACACTCACAAGTGCATACATACATGTGTATACCCAATGTACATGTGCACAAGCATACATACAAAACATAGTCCTTTAAATTAGAATTTTATCACAGAATGGGAATGTAAATAAGGATTAATGCTATATTCCTGTCAAGGAAAAAAAAGGGCACTTGATGGAGAATACCATTATGGTAAAAGTGCCGTGACTTGTATTTAAATGTCAGAGACCAAGTGTTGTGGGTCCTTTCAGGGACTGGAAAAAACAGAACCTCTGCCTGGAGTCCAGGCTACTTGGACCAGCTTGTCTTTACCATTTAGCTACTCAGCATGTGGGCGAAGGAGATGATGCAAGCTTTTTGGGAGATATTTCCCCCACAATTTTAGGTTTCAACCTCTAGGTAGAGCACAAGTCCTCTGGCCCCTCCCCTACCCCCATCACTCATCAGGAGTGGCAGTTCTTGTCCAAATGAAAGGCGCAGTGGTTTGTGGTGATGCTAGGGCGCAGGAAAAGGAAACTCTTGCCTCTAGGTTTCTTGCAACTACTAAAGCAAAGTGCTCCAGGAGCTGCCTCTGACTGGGGAAGATGTACATCCAACCTCTAATCTCTACTCTTGGAAGGCCAGGTAGGTCCAAGGAAAAACCTCATGGAGAGCAAGGTTGCTGCTTTTGCCTGCCTTCAGTCTGGGCAAAAGGGAGCCTGGAGGCTCATATGAAGTTAAGCCCAGCTCAATAGGACAGATAGCCAGTGGGAATCTGAGTCTAACAGCCCTAGATAAAGAAGAAAGAATTAATATAATGGATTATTTTACTGCCATAACCTCTTGAGAGTCCTCTACAGCCAATTGGATGTTTGGAATCCTATCTCTAGACTCATCAGAAATTGAACTCATCAGCCTTGTGTACAGCTACATGGTGGTGAATCCAGGAGAGGGAGTTTCCTGGGACAGGGATTACCATTGTCCTTCACCTAGCAGCTAATGTAGGGCCTGGCACATGGAAGGCCCTCAACAAATGATTTAATGTTGAGTGAATGAGTGAGTAAATGAACCACCGATTAAGCAAATTGTTGGGGGAGATTAAGTAGATATGAATCAAGCAGAGGGTGGCACAGAACCGAAGTTTGTGGCTTGCGGGATATAAAGGCTGTTGGAGTTATAGGGAGAGGACGCTTTACAGGTTGAAATTATTGGAGGAGCAGGCCTCCTGAGACCTCCCGTCTGCAGTCCCAGCTCTGACCCTTACACTCTATCAGCAGTGATCCAATACCTAACATTTGGGTCTTGGAAGGACAAGACAAGGGAGCTATGTAGGTGGAAAATACAAGATACAGGGTCACAGAGCTTTGGTGAGACTGGGCCTAGTGCCTGACTCCTCCCAAAGAAACTGTACCTTTACTTCAGACCAAGAGATCCGCTAGAAAGGGAAGAAGCAGTGGTGAACTCTGCAACAGTGATTTGCAGCACACATAGCCAGGGAGGTGTACAGATATTTAAGAGAAAGGAATTACCCAAAAATAGAAAGGCTTTTAGGCATCTGTGCCCTTTACCTTTTTTAAGATATTCTCCTAATATCTCTCTGCTATAAATACATGCCCATACTTTTTTCTAGAGTTTTTAGGGCTACACTACTTAGATTTAATTACAGTGACAGACATTTGTGTTCTCTGAGTGTCCCAATCCAGTTACGGTCCTGACCAAATAACATACCAAAGATTGCCAGTACCATTGAATGTTATTACTTTATGATTGATATAATGTCCAACATTTAACAAGTGTCTGCTATGTGTCAGGCACCTTGGGTTGCACTTTATACACATAACCTTCTCGTGCCTTCAAAACAAATCTGTGAGAAATTACCATTTTTTATTAAGAAAGTAACAGGCTACAAGTTAGGATCAGGATCAGCTTGGAAGTAACAGGAAAACTCAGGAGAGAGGATACAATTTGTCAATCAGGACGGCTTCCAACAAAGAGCTCTCAGCTTCTCCTCAGCCACACCCATAAGCAGGTCATGCTTCTCAGCTGTACCCACAGGCTGGGCTCCACTTGGGCTTCTGCCGCCAGCCACCACTCGGGCCTGGCCTCTCTTGCTGGGCCTTGCTCAGGCAAGTGTTACAGCTCTTTTGACTCCCATTGTCCAGTGCTCAGAGGCACCCCATTCCACCAGCAAGCTTCCTGGCTGAAGGTGCTCAACTCTCACTCAGTGGGTCAACAAGCCTTCTGCAACCGTCTTTGGGTCCCGTGATACTGCCGTCTCATGCTGTTGCCATCTCGTGCTGTTGCCATCTCGCATCACCTCCAGTGTTACAGCTCTCTCTGTCTCTTGGGTCTAGGTGGTTCTCAGCACAGGAACCTTGGGACCAAAGAACATGCTCCACTCCAGGTTCTTCTTGATGGTAGTGAGATCCCTCTCAACCTCTGTGCAGATTGACCTCTTTAAGCCTAGAAGGATGGCAAAACTGACCAATCCCCTTAGTATGCCACAGTTATTTAATTTGCACAGTAAACTGTCCAATCCCTGCAAGGATTTTATGCACCTTATTTGCATAGTAGATTAATCAAACCCTTTGCAAGATTGTGGACTAGTAAATCTTCTTGGCAGAACTACAAACCCAGGGCCAGAAAGGACATATATAAAGAGAAATCTGTTGCACTGCAGAATGCACAAAGGGAATTCTTTTTGCCAGTAATATTTGTATGGTAGAAGTTGTACTTAGGTCTAGGTATTACCGGGAGAAGCTCCCAGGCTGACTGGTTGCCAGCCAACCATGAGACTCACTCTACATTATTCCCTGGGACTGGGAAGGTTTGCAAACTTATAAATTACAACTTATTAGGGTCTTGATATTTGTTATAACTCAGGGGATACTGATTCAAGTTAATAGAAGTTCAAGACCATATATCAATATACAATGAGCAATGTAGTTACAGAGAGATTTAGATGCTCATGTTCTCCATGTCTAGCAGAATCTCCTGGAGGCAGCCTTCTAGGTAGCCAAATCCTAATTTTGTAATCCTTGGAAATTCTAGAATCAGAAAAAGGGGTCAAACATATATAAAGCCTAAAAGAGTCTGATTAATCTATCTTCACAATAAAAAAAAAAAAAAGTTGCTTCAGGGATTAGATAGAATTTACCCTGAGGTCCCACCTGCCTGGAGTGGTCAAAACTGTACCTTAAAGAGTAATCATTTTGTGTGTGTTCACAGCTGGCTTGTGTCTTCTCCCAAGAGACAAGTCTCTTCTTCAAATATTTTAAAACCTCAAATATAATAATCATTAAGTCATCAAGTTCTAAAGCCAAACTGTTACTTTCTGATGATTTCTTTTGTCTCACCTATGATGCTCTGAAAGTTGATCAGAGTTTATCTGTTTGAGCGCAACGTTGTTTAAAAGTCTTTGAGGAGCTAATGCTGTCTTTCTTAGAACCATGTTGACTGATTACTTAGTCTGGAGGGCTTCAGAGATGCAAACTGCCCGTAAGACCCCAGGAATACTTCCCAAGCTAGCTGTTAGACCAGTGCCTTTTCTACTCAGCCATATTCATTTATCAAATTCAAACGGTAGGATTTTAAACAGTGGTGTAAATCATGTTTCTAGACAGGGCTGTTTTAATTTTTCTATTACTATTTAAATCAAATCATAAAGAGAGTCCAACATCAGGCAGGTGGTAGAAACACCTGCCCTTCCCCCATTCAAGTGTGCTTCTCAACTGTGACCTCATCACTGACATCATATCTCTTAAAGCTGGCCCAGGAGAAGGGTAGTTGCCACCTCTATGGGAGCCAGGTGGGTGCAGGGCTACACTGGGAGGTGGTGTCCATAGGACGTGGGTGAGAGGACATCGTTAGACTTTGGTTCCTGCACCCAGGTTTGCTCAGTGCTACATCTAGACTTCTACAGGCCTGTGCCACACTCTGCCCTCAGGAGACCCTGCATTCTGTTCTCGAGGAAGTATGGCACGGGCTAAAGAAGCAGGGGACAGCCAGATGGTGTCTGGTCAGGAGCCATCTTCACGCATCATCAGAGTATCTGTCAAGACCCCATGGGACTGTCAGGAATTTATGCTGGCAGAAAATAGCAGCGTCTACCACTTCAAGAAGCAGATCTCCAAACACGTTCACTGTGACGCCGACCGACTGGTGCTCATCTTTGCTGGAAAGTTCCTTCGGGATCAAGACATATTGAGCCAACGTGGCATTCTTGATGGCACTACTGTCCATTTGGTGGTGAGGACCCATTTGAAAGGATCGGCTGGTCTCAGAACTCTGCCAGGCCCCACAGGCCACTGCACTGATCACTCTGGACCATCAGCCTCTGGAGGGGCTAGAATGCTAGGCAGGCTGGGCCGCCTGGCCCGGAGGTCACCGGAGGTGGCTGACTTCCTCGGCCAGCTGGCTCAACTCCTTAAGGCTTCACCTGAGTCTGGGGTGCAGTTCTTGGAAAATCCTCTGGTTCAAGGCCTGGAAAGTGAGAAACCAACCAATGTCAGCCACGTTCCTGAAACCTCAAGGCCAGTACAAAAACCTGAGCCAGCTCCCAAAACTCTGGAAACACTGCAGAGCCCAGAATGGCGGCAGGAATTCCTACAGGCAGAAAAACTGGGACTGGAGGCCTTGAAGGTAGTGCCAGGTGGTGACAATGCTATGCGTCCAGTTTGCTCTGACATCCTTCATTTCATGCTCTCCACTCTGGCACCTTTGGTTGTCTCCAAAGGCCACATCCCAGGTTTTGAGCCCTGGAAAGGGGAGGCCAATGCTCACAGCAGTACTGACCCCACCATGGTCATTCCTACCACCTCAGCACCTGCCAGGCCACTGACACAAGAGAAGAGTGCAGGAATAGTTGCCCAGGACAGGGGCATGGCCTCAGATCTGGCCAATTCAGGGTACAGGAGCAGCATGCTGGACTTATACTCAAGCCAGGATTTTCCATCCCAGGAGACCCATCGGCCCATAGGAAAATCTACTCTAACCAGTCAGCTGAGACCCTCACCCTCTGCCTTTCACAGAGCCTTGCAAATCCTGCAGCAGAATCCAGCTCTGCTACACCAGCTGGCAACGGAGAGCCCCCTGCTACATCATATGCCAGTTCTTCCCATCCTCACCAACCCACGAGCAGTGCAAGCATTGATACAGATAGAACAGGGCCTGCAGACACTGTCTAGAGAGGTGCCTGGGCTGGGGCCCTGCTTATGGAACACAGGCAGACCATGTCAGGCTGGAGGAGCCCCTGAATCTAGGGGTGGAGGACAGAGACATAGAGCAGATGCTGGACAATCCACCTTGGCTGTTCTTCAGCTTCTCCATACACTGGCCAATGCCTGCTTCCAGTCTGCCCAATCCTCACTATCATGCCCCCTCAGTGAAGGCCGCTACCAGCAAGAACTGGAGCACCTGAAGGCCATGGGTTTTGCTAATCGCGATGCCAACCTGCAGGCCCTGATGGCCACAGGCGGAGACATCCGTGCTGCCATTGAGAGGCTGCTGGGGGGTACTGCAGGCCTAGGTTCCTCCTGCTAATGTCCAAAGAGCATCACCCCATGGAGAGGGAAAGAAAGGAAGGGGATAGTAAGGGGAGGGGAAGTAGCTTGTTTTGGGAATTCCTCCTACTCAGATCACGCACACAACTGGACAACCCCTCTCTCACTGCCCAAGCCTGTTCTACATTAAAAGGTTGCTTGGATCTCATGTGTGATGCTATTTTGGGGTGAGTGGGCAAAGGGAAGGTTATATGGAGAAGGATTGATCATGTTGCCTGGTCTTGGGTCTGGTATTCACCTATTCTCATGCTCCTATCCTCAGAGCATTTTTCAATTTTGAGTTTGGGGTGGGAAAATCCTGATTTTTTTTCAGTATTTTTACCTCTGCTTAATTGGCAACCCGGTTCTCCACCATCATCACCACCACAAACCACCTCTATTCCAACTCCAGAGTGATTCTGAAGGAATCCTGGCTATTGCTCCCTTGAGGAACTGTAACTATCCTGCTGGCCTCTTGAAGCCACCCACTCTTTCACCTTCAAGTTTCTCTGTCTTCAGTCCAGCCTTTTGATGTTGCAGAAAAGGTATTTTTTTTCCCTCTCAGCTATGACTGTTCCTTTAATATCTGCCTGTGCCAGGATCCTGCTCTCTTAGGTCAACCTACTTCTTCTGAAGCTCTATCTTATTCCTATCTGCAAACTTCTTTCCTTTATCTTGAAAAATGCTTTGCTCTGTTACTGAACTTTATCTCTTCTTTTGCCTCTGCATTTCTTGAAAGCATCTGCCCTCCCAGTAGCCATGTTTACACGACCGCCTGCAGTCAGAGACTTCTCCCCAGCATGGTACAGAAGATTTCTCAAAGCTGTTTCTCATTTCTCATCCTCCCAAAATTTTCTACAGAATTTATATACTGATCTCTCTTCTTTTAAGCTGTTTCCCTTAATCTACTTTCTTATCCTATCTTTTATAGAGTGGTGTTTCCCAAGAGCATGTTATACCAATTCTTTGTTAATTCCTCAGAGATTTTGGCCATTTCCATCGCTCTAGCTCTTAGCTCTCCATTCATGGTGGGTGCATCTCTGAGTCTAGTATTTGTACTTTCCACAGACTACTGGCTTCCCCTTTTGGTGCCCCAGAGAAGCCCCTGGCTCAGAACTTTTCAATATTGCTCAGCATCTTTCTCCTGATCCACATTTCTGCTCTAAGTTCTGTGTTTGGTTCTTATGTCTCAGTCAAAGTTATCAATACTTTCCCAATCCACCCAATCACCTCTGCTGTAGGCCCCTGATTTATCAGTGATGTGGTGCATAGAGCAGACAAGTGGAACAAGCCCCAGAAGACCAGTGGCTAATTGCAGCCATGTAGCAGGTTGAGGAAGAAGTTCTTTGGTGATACAAATGGTTAAAGTACTCAACTACTAATCAAAAGGTTTGCAGTTTGAACCAACCCAGACGTGCCTCAGAAGAAAGGCCTGGCAATCTGATTCTGAATGGTTACAGCCTTTAAAACCCTATGGAGTTCAGGTATACTCTGCACACATGCGGCACCATAAGTCAGAATCAACTCAATGGCAACTGGTTTGGTTTTTTGTTTTAGCAGGGTGAAGATTAATGGAACAGAGAGGAGGAAGCATATTGGACGAGTTATTTGAGGGTAACCTAGAGACTAAAAATTCAAAGCCAACCTCAGGAACCAATTGAGCCTGGGCTGAGGAGCAGCTCAGTCTCATGCTTCCTGGGGCCAAGGAGGATAGACTTCTCTGAGCTAGACACCGTGACTCAATTTTCTTTAGAAGTTGTGATGCTGCATTAGCCTAATAATAATAATGACAATCTTTGAAGAGAAACACTTCCATAGCATTCACTGTGTGCTGTTGTTAGTTTTTTATATATATTTAAATAATGCAATAAACCCAAATAGTGGGTTATTACTATTGTCATTATTCAAGTATTATAGGTGAGGAAGCAAGGGCACACAGTGTGTAAGTGGCAGAGGAGGAGAAGCTGGAGCCGTTTGATTCCAGAATTTGTGCTCTTAGCTTTATGTTGTGCCACAGCCAGAACCAGTTATCAATCAGCTCCCATGAAATCAATCAGTAGAGAATGTGATCAGTCCTGTCTTAATACAAAGAAAGATGCAAATTAGATCTTTAGCCCTTCAGGAATTTAGAAGCTCTTCTAGAGAGGAAAAACTCAGGGAGTAATCCAAATCACAATAAAGAAATTAACTATAAATGCACTCATAATAAATTGAACAAATTTAATATTTTCCTGCTTTCAAGAAGCATTATTAGCATATTGAAAGAAAATAAAACTAGGTAGAGCATGAGTTAATCCTGAAGTGATATTGCTACCTGGAAATGCAGAATTTTCCAACTCTGAGCTGATGGAGTAGTTGAAGGGATGGCTGTGTTGATGAACTTATAGTAGTTTTGAACTATAAAAACAAAATATTTATGAAAAGTTTGAAAACAGAAAAGTCACCCATTTCACACTGACCATTTTTATTTTGTGTATTTCTTTCCTGCTTTTTATCCTTAAGCTTGCATCTTTTTTTTTTTCCATTGTACTTCAGGTGAAGGTTTACAGAACAAATAGTTTCTCATTAAACAGTGGTACACATATTGTTTTATGACATTGTTTAACAACCCCACGACATGCCAACCCTGTCCATTCTAGACCTTTTTTTTTTTTGGTGAAAGTATACATAGCCAAAGATACACCATTTCAAAAATTTTTACAGGCACAGTTCAGTGACATCGACTAC